AGCTATGGAATTTTAATATCTCCAACCGCGTACTTCTTAATGGTTTCCTGACTGCGTGCTCAAACCTCCAACCGCAATAGTTGATTCAGATTTACAAAATTACAAAGACGATTACTCAATTGGATCCAAAACAATTCATTTTATCCAGCATGTTTTCTATTTTTATTAGGGCTGTCGATCGATTAAAAAGTTTAATCGATTAATCGAATTTTGATCGATGCCTAAGTTCCTTCGTGAATCATGTCTTAGACGTATGATTCTGCGTAATTCCGCTCGCGTCATGCCCAACACTTAGGCGAGCCTTAGGAAGTGACTCAAGGCGATGCAGTCGCTAGCAGCAGTTACTATCCATAAATACACTAGTTCAACCTACATGTGAAACATTCCATTCGGAGAGAGCATAATTACAACTTAGCCAGGTAAATAGTGAAACGTAAGCAAAGAAACGCACTGAGGCCGTTTTCCATTTAGCCAACCCATACCGGAAGGAATAAAAAATGTAACCAAAATGATTGGAATTATACAGTGACACATCATTACGTGGAGATTAAAGATCCATTATCGATTCACGGGAAACACAGGATGGAAGAATAGAAAAAGCAAAGAATAGTAGAGGGTTTCACACTTTCGTTTCCTTTTGTCTCGCCTGCTACCGGCTTTCTCCCTCCCGGTTACTTTCCGGGTACTCCCAGATTTTCGCCGGCGCACTAAAACGTACGCCTTTCACTCCCCAGTCTTTACAGTATGCTCTTTCCTGCCTCTCCTGCCCCATGTCCCTGCCCAAATTCTCTATTCCTTCTGCGCGTTCCCCTGCAGCTTCTTCATGACGACTTTCTTTTCCTTATTCACATCCAGTGACTTTTCGGTCGCTCTGCCCTAGACCTCTGCTACCTGAGCCTGACGCGCGAGGCCTTTCTAGGTCGTAGGCTGGGCGGAAGGACACGGGATGCACGCCAGTACGCTTGTGGATGCGAATGGGTCAGGAAGCTACTTTTTGGAATCGTCTGAAGCGATGGCTTTGTTTTTGTGTTTCCTTTTTCCAAAAATAGTATGTCAATTTTGAGGAAGAGTGAGCAGTGCGAAAATGACTACCTACTATGATAAACCATCATTTCCTTGATATAGGATTCGTTTCCGGTTGTTTTGCAAAACTATGAACTATACAGTTAAATTTTGCTGGGAAAAAGAGGCATCAGGGGAGATTGGGGTGTCGATTCATTTCGACTAATTTTTTAAATCGCGATTAATACTTTAATCGATTAATTGGTCGATTAATCTGATCGAATCGACAGCCCTAATTTTTACAGAACTGGAGGGCATTACTCTTCCGCAGTGTAAAACTAATAAGAACAGTGATTTAAGAGATTCAATGCTAATAGTCAGGGCACCAATACATCTCTGTTCTAGGTCATGAACTTAGGATTTAGTCACTGGGCACAAATATCGCGGGTCGTCCATGTGAGGAAGATTCCTAGTCATCTTTCACAGGCCACGTAAGCCTTCGAGTCAGCACTTCATGAGCTACGTCACGTGCGATGTCGCGTGATAGGATACAACATATTAACTTTCACGAACATCTAAAATTTAAATGAGAGATGCCGTTGATTTTCGTCTATTATTATCTACTAGTTGCTACCCGTGAAACATTCACGTCTTTCTATTTGAGGTTAATCGACTTCTGTTTCATAACATTTAAATAAAATACAGTTGAAATTTTGAGCAGCCATATTTCGGATCAGTAATATCAAGTGCGTCCCGTCATTCACTCCCCTCCCCCCCCCCCCCCCCCCCCCNNNTACTCCACCCCCCCCCCCCCCCCCCCCCTCCCCCCCCCCCCCCCCCCCCCCCCCCCCCCCCCCATACCCCAATTTCCCTATATACCAAATTTCAGTGGCTCATTGGATAAGGCATGATTTTGAGCCATGCACGGGATGCGGATCAGCTCTACAGGACCGACCCGTCCGGCGAATCGGACGGGCAGCTCGGCAATCAAGTTTCCTCTTAGGTGCAGGTGAATACGCTATCAGAGGGTCTTTTCTCCAGCCGTATACAGCTACTGGCGAAAAGGACACTTCGTTCCATCAGCGCTCGACGCGATCAAGTCATTAAATGACGTCACTCTCGGGCTGTCAACGGAACGTACGAGGTCTGATCGAAAAGTTCTGAGACTGAATTTTTGAATGACCCTGTGGTGACTCCGCCTTCTAAAGCCGATATCCCTCGAAGTAGTCCTCTTCGGCACCTACACAATTTTTCTGGTGTTTCTTCAGCCGTATTCGTCTTTTTGATTCGTCAGCAGTGCTCGTGTCGCGTTTTTAATGTTGCTTCGAATGTCCTAAAATCTCCTTCCTACAACTCTAGCACCCTCTTTAGCTTAGAGAACAACTTAAAAAATCCCTGGGAGCCAAGTTCGCCGAGTAGGGCTGATGATGATCCATGGGGATTGCGGGGTAGGTCAGAAATTGCTGCACAGCGAAAACGTGCTTGGCCTGGGCGTTGTCATGCTGCAGAATCCACTCCCACTCCCACTTTTCTCATTCTGAAAAGAGAGGAAAATAGGAGGTAAGGCGATGGATTCTGCAGCATGACAACGCCCAGGTCAAGCACATCTTCGCTGTGAAACAATTTTTCATCAACCCCGCAATCCCCATGCTTCATCATCCATTCTGCTCGCCGAGCTTGACTCCCGGTTATTTCTTCTTGTTCCCTTAGCTAAAGAATGTGACAAAAGGAAGAAGATTTCAGGACATTCGAAGTAGCATTACAAACGCGACGCGAGCGCTGCTGACAACTCCACAAGATGAGTACCAGCGACGCTTCTAGAGGTTGAAGAAACGATACAAAAAATTGCATTCCTCCCTTCTTTCCTTTCTTGCAAAAATTGCAAGAAAGGAAAGAAGGGAAAAATATAGAGAAAGAACAGATACTGACCCAATTGGGATGTGTACCTAGAGAAAAAAGGGTGTCAAACAATGATTGCTGCCCCCCTCCCTCCGTAGAGAAAACAATAAGCCTAAGTTTAAATGAACCACGAAGCATAGCATGGCTCGCCTATAAAAGCGTAGCACTACAAGTTTCGCGTTTGCAGAGGCGTCTCTCTCGGCCGTCTCTGTCACTAAGAAGGCACATCATAGGCCTATACGTTGTTGGTCAATGGTTGAGGGGAGTCCGTACAGCTCCAGCAACATCAAGTCTTGCTAATAATTTCACGGTAGATGTTGATGGCAAGCTTTTGAGGTCGTTCGCGCCAGCTGTGGCGTATTATTCTTGGAGGCGGAGAAGAGAACGTCACTATGATTGGTTTTAACGACGCCCCTCGCTCTTATTAGATGAGCATGAGGTTACTAGCTGCGTTATCTTGAATCCGGTGCAACTCTTCGTACAGAGCATAGAACCCTGATTTTCGCCGCACAAGGTGCTGTGATAGTTATGACGACGCCCTCTGCTCTGCCATGCGGTTGATGTGAACGAGACTTAACAGATTGACCCCACAATACCGGGCGTTTCAAAAGTCACTATACCTGTTCAGATGACCCCACTAAGAATAACGACGGCCACCGTGTTATAAAAACTAGCGTGCGACTAATTTGACCACGGGGAAGGCAATGCATTTCATAGTGACACCACATGGGTATGGGTATAAAAACCATCGTCGCAAAACCTCAGTTTTCAACGAGCCAATAAAACGGCTGAGGAGTCTTCATACAAGTTGGTGCTCCACCCTACACTGCAGATTGAGTGAAACGTGTTCTCCAGGTCACTTTCGGAGACCGTGTGACCAATCGACACCTTCGACCACTTTCACACTCTGAACCATTGAACTTTGAGCTAGCCTGCAAGATCACCTGACCTCACTCCAGCAGACTTCAGGCTTTGGGTCGCATTGAACATCTATTGAACATCTATGAGCACATTCCATTGACATAACGAACATGAAGGCATTGTCTTCCCCGTTTTCGAATCGATTCACACGCGAAGTTTGGTACCACTACGCCCAACAACATGCTCTCCACGACCGCATAAACAGTGGAACTTGCATAGGCGGTGATTTGTTGAGAAATTTGGGGGGGCTCAAAGACAGTACTCCAAGTATTCCTTATTCTCGTCCTCGCTGCGAGTCACTTCTATCAAATTTTTTGGGGGGGGCTCGAGCCCCCTGGGCCCCTATGAATCGCAGTGGAAGTGACTTTTGAAGCACCAGATACATTGCTGCCTAACGTCCGAAATAGGTCCAATAGTTTTTGCATCAATGTCAAATTTGACTTCGCCAATATTCTAACAATGTCGTTTTATGACGCCTTTATTCAATACCAGCCAGACACATGCAAAAAATGCATGGGAAATGAGCATTTTGGTCCTTTCCAAGTTGGTCCCAAGAGGCCATATAACCCGTATATTTGGGGAAATATGGCCAGGCATTAGGAGGAATATGGTTACTTCTCAAAAATCAACCCAAGGTACGTATGAAAAATACTCGAGCATATTGAGTACCAGGAAAACATAACAAACTAGGCTAAGCAGTTGAAAAATAAATTAACTGCATTGAGGACAGGAAAGGAAGCTTCCTGAATCATGGTTCAGTGAACGAAGGTACAGTGTTTTTCGCTTCAGTTAGACACTTTTTCACTTGACTTCGACACTCATGCATGAGGAACGTCCCATGAACGTGTGTCTGAGTCAAGGGAAAAATTTTCTAACTCAAGTGAAAAACACCGTAGAAGGACCTAACCTTATCACCTGACTTCAGGGGCTGCTGAGACGCAGTATTACAACGCTTTTGGCTGATTAGCATTGTACGCGATTAAGGTGTGTCTAGAGACTTTGGATGTAAAAGGATGTGGATTTGGATGTGCCAACTAGAAGATCCGATAGCGCGGAGAAAACGTTACCTGTGCATATACATTACACGAAGAAGAAAAGCACAAAAAGCATCGTATTTATAGTACGAAGGATATTCACTTGCATTAAAATTTCATGCCAAGTAATGTACTGGAGTGCATCTAGCAAATGTCCAGTAGGCGTTGCATGATGGCATCTGTTGCATGTTTCATGTGGATGTCCAGTGGATCTCCGTACGTCCACAGCATAAATCCAAGGGATGTGTATAGGATGATTCCTTCCAGCCTGTGGTCGCACAGAAAAGGAATATAACATTATCGGTAGGTCAGTGCAGTGCTCCTATGAGATGAGAGGTAGAGAAGGTATTCCCCTATTTTGACTTGAATGACGAACTTGACAACACTGCCAGCAAATCCCAAGTGAAAGGTCTAGAAATTTTTACAAGCATTCTGGAAGGATTGTTGAACAACTTTGAACAAATGATTTCAAATGGTTTCTGTATTCATGCTGCTATTAGGAAATATTCGCTTAAGTTGTTCAATGTTCATATCAGTTACAGTGTCATAAGTTGAGCAATTGTATGCAACTACATTCAAAACATTGATGTCTCCCGTCTTCCTGTGCGCACTGTATTGATGAATAGGGCATAACATTTCAGTTATTACATATACTTTCATAGTCCCAGTTTCAAAATTCGCCCAAAATAAATTCTTCAGCCTGTTTTGCGAAAATATTGTGAAGAGCTTTATATTACCCCAATACTCAATTTACCGGAATTCTCTCCTTTAGAATAGAAATAAATCCCTAATTTAGAGTGCTTATCGTACTGCCGGTACTAGAATTCAATATGTAAGCCCCCAAAGGGCTCACCTACAGAGCACCTGCACCTGCGGCTCATAATACAGCACGGAGCCCTCAATCTTCTTTCGTCTCCCAAGGGAAGGATAACGATGATCGAACTTCAACATTTCTTTATTCGTTCTTTCTTTCACCTCTCACATACAGCTTTTGATAAAAAATAACACTCTGATGGAAACTAAATTTCCTTTTCTCCAAAGAGGAATGTAGAGGGGAAATAAACCATGAAAAATCAACATGGTTTAGACTTTGGACATCCAAGTTCGATGAAGAGACAAACTTCTTCCGCGTCTCTTTTTTGGGCATGTCTGAGGGTATCGGTAGACGAGATTCATGCATGGCAACAAAAACAAATAAGGCATGGCAAACCACTGAGGATCAAATAATCATAACTTATGACTAGATCTGTGAACAAAATGAGGGGTATTCAAAGTTCTCATCATGGGAGGCCAAAATTGAGTAGGCTTTTGCAGAATTCGGATTCCCCAGAACAACAAAAAGGGTAGGTGAAGGGCCCACGAGTAATGCTGGCACACTGGATGCAAATTTTTTGCAAATTTCGGTCTCGATCGCAGGGAGAGGAAGCCGTTCTTCTCTCTAAGCCCAATTCATCCAAAGATCGAATATACTCTTCCCAGCCTTGGGATTTCTTGGCCATGGATTTCCATTTCCAATCGCCAGATGGTGGGAAAGCGGCGGTCTGGTGCAAAACTAGCATGAATGCCATGACACAACCCAATAACACTCGTCTTTCCCATCTCCATTCCACCATCTGCGAAAAAAGCAAATTTAAACAATTAAGCCACAGGGTTAGACATGTCCACGCGACATAACTTGTGTGTTTACATCGTATTCACGAATTAATAAGTTAAAATGATTCTTGCACTATCTTCGAAAACTTCTCACTTGACTTGAAAATGCAACTATGCCAATAAACTGTATGACGTCGCCGTATAATTTTTGTTCATGGTGCGTTCCTTGCAAGCTCTCTAAACTTAACTTCACAAAACCTCCTTGATTTCCTAAACCTTAAAAAATTCCTCCTAAAATTTACCTCCTAAATCCTTCCATCGTGAGGAAAGGAGTTCTCACTTCTTTATTTGTTCTCTAAACTGTCAGAGTGATTCATTTCCGAGTAACCATATAGCTAGTAAATCTCCTTTACGTTCATACCAAGATTAACGCCCATTCTTTACTTGATAATCCAGGAATGAGACGAAGAAAAACAAAATGACTATTTTTTTTTAGGAATAAAAAGAAAATTTCCACTACCATTAACCATTATATCAAATGATTTCTGCATTGCTTCTTGATAACCAGAAATACGATCGCTTGTGCCGTGATGCAAGATACAGTTATATCTTACTTTGTACGCTCGATGGAATCATTCCATTCTATCCTCGTTGGTACCATTCACACAAGGGTATGAAAGAGGAGAAGCCGCCTCTCTTTTTCCTCAACATTATCATCGAGTCCCACTTCAGGGGTGTATTGGCCAATGTAATGTACGACACAGAAAGGAATTTCTGGCATTCCTGTTATCTGCGTGGAACCACGTAGACCTCCCACTTCTTCGAGTATTTATTTACACCAACACCTACGTCCTTACATGCCTCAAGTGGAGTGGCTGGTCCCGATATCCAATTATAAATGAAAGGCTGGTCGGGGATTCCCCAACAGACACTATCAGTTATCCTGTCGTCCATGCCCATACTTAGATCATCAACGCAACATCATACTCCACTTTTTGTTATTGTAGGAAACCGGCCACCCCTCTTGATTTCGAAGGGGTGACCTTTCTTCCCACGACAGCCATGAAATAAAACACGATGCTTTCGCTGATTGATTGCGTGGGAGTGATCGAGTTTCAGTAAACCAAATATTATTATAAGAGGCGGACGGAGGGAGCGGGGAATGTACGTGATGATGCAGTCGGTCTGCGTGATGATGATGTCACGAGAATGGGAGACATCACTAGACAGCCTGTCGCCATGCCAGGTTATTGAGTATGTTTCTCTCTTGCCTTGGCAACAACCATTCTACTATGCACTTTCGCATTGGGGAGAGCAATTGCTGAGAAACGTGGAATGGCAGGGTCTCAGAGAAAGGATGGAAGACACGAGGCAATGTCTTGATGGATCTCAAGGGATGAAACCCAGAGAAATCGTCGTGCTCAGCCCACGCATGGGACACTCCCAAGCAATTCAATCAGAAATACTCGCTGGCATGACACCCCCCTCCCCTCTTCACTCACGAGCAAAACAAATCCTCCCACTAAATCCCCAATGAGCTTGCACAGGACTAGGAATCCTCCCCTCTCATATCGATTGAACATAACAAACGCAGTCAGAACTAAAATAAAAAGGGAGGGAAAGAGAGGGAAAAAGAGAGAAGAGACCGGGCGCTTAAAGTGCTCGAGAAAAAAAAAAGTTCATAAATCAAATTCACCTACGTTTTCCTTATACGCCTACACACACTCTTACCTATATTCGAATATGCCCAATCGATTTCTCTTTGAGGACACAACCTCCCAAAAGTCCTGTCCCACTTTCTCAAGAGGCGATTCCGAATTTCAATTCACCTGGACATTTTTCGCTGCAGCAATGTCTTGGAGTGATTGTGAATTTCAAAACATTAATTTTATACGCCCAAACTTCGCTTTCCGATTGAGACTTCACTCCATGTCCAGCATTGAAAAATGAGATTATCGTCAAAAGTGGCGATAAAAAAAATCGCAAAATGGACTGCGTTAAAGAGGTCGTGAGTTCCCAAGGCAAGTGAGAATACTTCATAAAACTCTTATAGTACTTCCAGGCTTTCGAGGAGAAACTTCAGGATTTATTTTCTATGGTTGGCAGTACTTCCATTGAACTACTGTCTCAAAGTGTAACCCATCAAAATATGTCAGAGAGAAATTGTCTCCAATGCAAGTAACGCGGGACTCGGAAATGATATTCGTTTTCATTAGTGTCCCCAAAAGTCCAACCCCACCTGATAAGAAAATGTTCGCGTGTCTCTATCAAGTATTCAAGTTCGAAAAACCTCCCTTTCACCTTCCTTGTGAAAAAATCATTTTGGAATTTTTACCCTAGTTTCATGCCCAGTTGTGGGGTATTTTCGGGACAACACTGCACGTGAAGCTCACTTCCGTTTACAAAAGGAGGAGCCTCTTTTCGAGTTCTCGATGATGATGGATTTGACAAGGAATGAGACGTGAAAAGGGATGACAGATCGGTGCGCACCGTGAAGTGAGGATGTGAAGCAGATCGACAATGATGAAGAGAATAAGGCACGCAAGGGACACAGGCTGGACGCACAATGGACAACGGCCCACGTAAGTATCCAGGAAGGAGGAGCAAGAAGAGATGTATCTCTCCGTATGAGGAAAGGAGAAGATGAGAAGCCTTATATACGAGAGCCGAGATTTCAATTCCCCCCGCCAGCCGCTGAGCGCATGCCCACGTGGGATGGATGGATGGATGGACCATCCACAGGGCGCTAACACCCCAGGAACGAGAGGAAAGTTATTCCTCCCCCTCCTTTCCCAAAATTCTCCATTTACGTCAGACACTATGTCCTCCCAGGTCTATAAAAAGAACATGTTGGCTGCTAAAAAAAAAAAAAACAATAAAAAAAAAAAATATAAAACCCAAAATCTGCAGGTTTTTAAAATTCTTGTCATTGTCTATGAAGTATGGACTATGGATTGCTTTCATTTTGACCATACGGTACTTTAATAGACTCTCTTTTCTATTTACACTATCTTTCCTCGCCTAATAGTTCTATGAAAGGGAGAGACGCAGTCATGCATCGGGAGACCCAATATTTCTCATTCATTCATCATCCAGGAAATCATCGAGACGTTCCATCCAATTCCTGAATTAATTTCCAGCATTAGGAGAAACCAACGAAACTCGAACGCTTCAGGAATGTGCAACTTGACTCGAACGCTTCGGTTAAAGGTTTCGGCTATTTCTTGGACTTGCTCTTTGGTGATTGAACTCGTCTCCCAGTAGTTGCAATGTTTTATGAAACATGCCGTAGTGCTAATTTCTGACGAGATTTCTATCGTATGGGTAAGTACGAGCATGAAATAGGAGCGCTTTCAGATATTGGATATGAAGCAAATACCTCCATGAAAATTGTTCTATAGAACTAGGGGTTCAAGCCCAATTTAGGGTAGGAGTTTTTTCAAGGATATGTTAATGGTAGAAAAATATTCCACCAGTTCGGACTGATAATCTCGTAAGAAAGACCTGAACGCATGTTCAGTTTAACGTTGCAAATTCACAGGTGACGCGAGAGTCGAACGAATACGTTCGACTGGTTTATGCATGTACGAGAGTGGCTTGGAAAGAATCAGCGTGCAGCTTCTCAGCAGTGGACTTCACAGCTTCTCGTTCAACAGAATAAAGACAGATCGCAGGCTTTAATGACTATAATTACCATCATTTATGGATGTCCCCCAGCTTATTACTTCTGTTAGCTGGCGACTGTGAAAACATAATGATGCAAACATATTAGAGATCTAATGCTGCTGTGGGTATTGCGGCATACGGTAGTCTACATTGGTCATTCCATGAAATGTCACGAAAAAGTTGCAAATTAACGCCCGACTCTCCGAATTTTATTAAGTTTTGAATACAGGGTTCCCCAGCCCCCAAACCCAGAAATGTCACATTTCAGACTCATCGGGCCAGAAGGTCAAATGCTACATGGTGGTTAATATTTAGTGTCACCTACTAACCTCCGATTTTGATAGACCAGTACCTCAAGAACTATTTCTAAAAGAACCCTAATTAAGTCTGTCAATGCAACGGATTGTCATGAAACATCCGAATAGATCCGGCAGACATTAACCACAAGGGCTGCTGCCGTTGGCTGTGCAGATGAGGGGGTGAGAGGGAGGAATTACTCGTTCGAGTCTTGGAGCGCGTCCATTCGACTCAGAGCGGGGTTGTTCGAGTCAAGTTACAACATCCGCGATTACGACGTGTTGCATTTTTGGGGGGACCTATACACCCGTTTTTCATCACTTAAGATTCATTCCTACCATGGCTTGACCCTTGAAAGCTGGTAGTTTCAGGGAGGGGCGAAGAGAGAGAGGGGCCCATGGGCTGGCCATGGGCTCTGAGATGCAGGATGCGAAAATCGGATGGAAAAATAGTTCGAGTTTCGTTGTTTTCCCCTATACCCACGTTTTTGTTTTCTCAGGACCATTCACTGGGTGTGGTGACGGTACTACAGTATCCGCTTTATCCGTTTTTTTTTTCCCTCAAACTATTGCCGGACTATCCAAGTAGGAAGTCAGGATCGTCATTCCCAAGTCTTACTGTAGTTCGATGTACAAGTAGAGAGAATGAAAGGAAAGGAAATCAAGTCGAATGCGGTGAAATGAGGAGATAGGATGTCAGTGAACGGGGAAGAGGACCCTCATCTCAGCCCTCATCCTCCATCATCATCCCACTGGGCGAAAAAGCGAAAGTACAAAAATACAGTTATAATCATACGGAAGCGGACGACGTATAACACATTTCTTCATCACAACGTTTGCAGTTCTGACATGCTTTCCTTCGAAATTAGGCAAACCAATAGGCGAAGGAAATGGAGGGGATGAACAGGAATTGGGGTGGGGGAAACCCGAGACGTGTGACACGGAACTATATGACAGGACGTCATTCTCGTTGTTCCCAGAAGTGCGGGACGGATTGTTTGCCCAAGAGGAGTGAGCGGGTCAAAAAACGAGAGAGAAAACAAGGGGAGCTTACCGATATTTTTTAAGTGCGTGGGCGCGGTGACATTGAAGAAAAGTACATGCTGGCGTCTAGGAAATCTCTCTGGGTCACCTCCAATTCCCAATTTTCCCCCAATTTCTCTCCTGCCAGGACCAAACGGGGACATTTATTTTGAAATTGACACGAGTAATAAAAGCACCCCCAGATAAAGGATGAGGCCTCTTCCATCCCTAGTTTTTCCACGCCCACTCGTGGATGTAAAAACCAGGAAAGAGTATCTAACATGAAAAACAAGCAATTAAATGACGAAGGATAACATCGCCTCCTCAATCAGAATTCCAAGAATGGTCCTGGGCGGATGCGGGCGCGTGTAAATACCCATTTTGCATTTCCATGTGACATGCACAGGGTGGCTAGGAAAAAAAGGAGGGCCTTTTTTTTCGCCACCTACACATACATATATGCATGCACCGAATTTTCCCAACATTATTTACGAAGGCACAGGTCAAATAGGCAACAAAGAAATCCTATCGCCTTTCGCATTAATTTTCCCATGAAATTTCGCAAGCGTTTTTTGAACCAACAACATAAACATTTTTGTGGTGGATGAGTAGTACTTTGGAATAAGTTGTCCAGTGCTTGCCAAACAGAGAAATCCAACTCAATTCTTAATTGCTTCACCAAGCAAATGATCTCATACACAACTACACACAAAAGTTTCAGCTGACTGGTAGTACGACTTGACAAAGGTTGGTTAAGGAGCACCCTGCATTACAGCCGGATTATAGGAACCAGCAGAGGAAAGGAGCGGTAAAGAAGGGAAGTCGTTGCGTCTCCACTTACGTTATGCTTTTGAAAGGGTAGTGTCACTAAATGCTCTCTATAGCAGCAACGGATAACAAGTTAACCACAGACAACCTCGTGGAGAGACAGTAAGGCTGGACAGGGCCAAAAGTGGTCTCTCTTGTTTCAAAGAGGCCTAATGATAAGTATCACATGGCTTCCAATTAGGCTTACTTGAATTTATAGGCGATTTCTTCTGCACGCCCCAGTTGACACCGGCACCGACACCGGTACCAGCCGATGGTTATGAAGATAAAATCGGCCATCGGCCCACCGGCCAAATGTGGCCACCGGTACAGCCCTAGTTTTTATACTTCTTTGAAGTCGTCACTGAACCTTCGTCATCGTCATTAATAATGAATGAGATCTATGATGACCTTTCTGGATCCGAAGGACAGTCCTCTCGAGGGCGTTGGAGGCAGCAGATGAGGAGATGGCATACAAGTGAGCTCCAGTGAGCCCATGAGGAAGAAGTCTCTCGATCACCTCCAAATCCACCTCAGGTGAACACTTGAATCTGAAAATGCCTTGCATATGAATCACTGCCGCTTGGCATCATCAAAAGCCCCTCCCTTCTTCGTAAACAAAGATAGGCATATCCCAAAGATTCACACGGACTGGAAACTGAATTAAAGAAAAAAAAATGAAACCCTGAGTCCTACCTCCTGGTTTGAGCTCGGAGAATGTCCAATCTCTCGGCGGGTGTACTCGGTGGACCCACGTATACGCTCCGATCCAATCTACAACATTTATATCATCTTCATTTTCAACTCAATAATCACAACAAGCATGACATGGAAAATAAGACTTCTCATGGGTTCTCAATTATTCATTTCAAGTCTGGTTCCAGCTTAGGGAGCGAAAGAAGACGGAACATCCAGGTTCCTCGAATCTACGTCGAACGAAGTTAGTATTTCCCATTCCATCAGGAAAGAACTAATGCGTCACGGAACGGGTTTAACGACGTTACGAAAGGGGAGAGGTGGGTCTACCTTCAACTATATTACTCCTGTCATTCGTCTTTTGAGAAGGCGAATGATGTGCTGCTTTTCCTCGACCCTGGGGAACTCCAGGTGCAATAGAGAAGAGTAAATGCATTTCCAGTCGGGCTCAATCGAGTCTCCATCTCATCTCTGCTTCTCTCTCATCCTCTACTGGAATTTTCCCTCAGGTATAGACAGTGAAGTTACGAATATACAGGCAGATCCAAATGAGATTATTGTCTTCCTTCACCTCTTCGCTTCAAAAGGAATTGGGCGGCATGCACTAGATTGACATGGCTTGTATATTAATTTATTACACTCGGGTTCATTTTGTCTTTAAAAAATCATATTATGAATTTGGGATAAGTTAATGCATATCACAAATGATTTTGTCTCCATGTATATTTTCAACAAGTGAGCCAAAAGGGTCATGTTTCCTGTGACTTGTTGTTCGGCCGCGACCTGCGTTGATCCCAAGGGCGTTGTGTGGTGTGCATCAAAGTAAAGGAAAAACTTGATTCCCACACTTTTCCCAAACTGAGGGAACTTCCGCTCCTGCGCATCCAAGCTCTGCTTCATTTCAGCTTCAGGTTTAATTATTTCTTAACCCAGTGCTCCCAATCGACATACCTCATGGAGATCGCCCTGGTAGTTTGATCTATATATCGCATGACGTCAAACTTTATCCGATATGGCGGCTCTCCTACTGAGTGGATGCTAGTTATTTCCTTTTGCCTCACTTGTTGAAAATATACATGGAGACAAAATCATTTGTGATATGCATTAACTTATCCCAAATTCATAATATGATTTTTTAAAGACAAAATGAACCCGAGTGTAATAAATTAATATACAAGCCATGTCAATCTAGTGCATGCCGCCCAATTCCTTTTGAAGCGAAGAGGTGAAGGAAGACAATAATCTCATTTGGATCTGCCTGTATATTCGTAACTTCACTGTCTATACCTGAGGGAAAATTCCAGTAGAGGATGAGAGAGAAGCAGAGATGAGATGGAGACTCGATTGAGCCCGACTGGAAATGCATTTACTCTTCTCTATTGCACCTGGAGTTCCCCAGGGTCGAGGAAAAGCAGCACATCATTCGCCTTCTCNAAAAAAAAAGAAGTCGACTGGCAGTTTTGGGATTTGATATTCTTAAGGATGCCTTCAGGGGAGAAACAAAATAGGGTCATCATTTAAGCCTAGAATTGAGAAAAAGTCAACGAAGGGAAAATAATGAAAAAGAAACCATTTCCTGAAGTCTTCTCGATGGCTTGTCGGGTAAAACGCATTTACGAATCTCGACGGCGACAGTTCGAAACCACGCGAGTCGGCGAGATTAGGGAGTGGTGATCTGAGAACGACTGGAAAATCAACGACTGCGTTGCCGCACTCCTTGAGGAAGTGTTGAAATGCGACGAAAATGCGAAGTGGGCAAATGCGAGTGTGAGGAAGTAGTAATAATCCAGTCAAATACCACTCCCCCCACATTTTCTGATTTCTCTTAGATAAGAGTCTCATTCTATTCGAGTAAATGAGGTCTCCAAACAAACAGCCTTCACAGGATAAGGAATGACGTGTAATTCGAGTGAAAATAAAGTGGCGGATGAATTCGTAACTCGAGTGTTCTCTCCTGTATCTGACTCGATATTAACTGAAGATACAGGAGAGAACACTCCTGTATCTGACTCGATATTAACTGAAGATAAGCTGATTTCGTTTGGTATGCAAATAAAATTATCCTGAATGTTCTCTATGGATTCACGAGTAGAAGGAAGAGAGAACATCAACCGAATTTCTTCGCCTTTTAGGAACTTTATATTGCGTCTATGTATTCCGCAACACCTTGGCGACCTAAAGAGCTATTGGATGAGACAAGAAGCAGACCCTTCTCTAAGGCATTGGAGGAATTCGGAAGAAGAACTTCCTCTCATTAATCAGTTATTCTCGGGAATGCATGCCTTTTCTCTCTCTATATATATAAACGGAAGCCTATATATGCTCACGCATACCAATCTGGCACCTCAAATAAACTCTCGTTTCCCAGTATAGATCGGAAATTCTATTCTCAGGCACAGCACGATATCTTTGGGGATCTTTTTTAGAGTAAAGGAGGTCACGTGTGGAATATCAAGTCCAACACGACGCTGGAAACGGAAGTCAATGCTTCCACAGCAAGACCTAAAAGCACTGCGTTCCACTGAAGAGTTGGAGTAAAGGATGAGACCGGGCAGATTTGTAAGACTATTAGATGAGTACGTGACCCGAAAAAGCGGGTGAAAGCCAGAAAGCCACTTGGGGTTCGTAAAAGAGAGCCTAAAAACAGCTGACTATATAATATCTCTAAAATGGGTCCGCGACAAAAGGTCTAATCATGAATAGTTCAATAGCTAAATCGTCCACAGTGTCATGTCGCAGTGTTCATAGCAAGAAGGTCCAAGTCCAGATCGGCCAAAGGTCAGATGAAGTAATTTAAAAAAAAGTCCAAAGTATATTTTCCGTCCGTCTGTGAGAGAAGTTCCTCCTGATAGCTGGTAAAACTGCGCATTGTGGGCGATTCCACGATATTTCATCAATTCGCGGTTGCTATAATTCTGTACTATTACTTGATTCTGATGTTTTAAATTTCTATTCGGTGTCTCTTTGGAGGATACTCGGCTACTACTCGATCAAGTTCCTTCTCAGTGTTGGCTTGTTCTTTCTGCAATTCCTGAAAGACCGTACATGAATACCCACCATAACAAAGAAATAGGACTCTTTCCTGTCTTTGAAAATAAAGACTCTCCATGGCAATACACATGATTGCTGTCCAGGCACTCTGTAAAACGTCGAATCGCGGACTGAAAGCATAGCTTTAGGTGTTTCGTTTCCCTGCGTTGGTTCAATAATAGCGTCTGTTCGAAATCCTGCTTTTTCTCTGCGAGTAGGCAATTCTACAAATTTCCTCCTGCTTAGTTCAGATTTTGCGTATACGATTCAACTTTAGAATATTTAAAGACGAAGTGGCAATTTGACCAAATGTCCTTTCTCCCTTTTGTCCTTTGAACCTTTGTAACATTCGACCATTCATCCAAACGCCCATGCTGCGATAGGCTCATTTGTCTTTAGACGAAATGACGCGAACCCCTCTAAAATGGGAATTTAGTAGCTTAGTTGAAACACAAAAATATCCTCATAAAGAAAAATTATAAACCGCTTTCTCTAATGGTCGGAGACTCCAATGGGTGCTATCGCTGCTGTCATAGTTCTCGCCCATTGAATTATATTTCTACCAGGAACTTTCGGGAGTCATGTAAAATTAATTTTAATAGAGATGCGATAACGGAGGAACCAAACGCATTGTGCCAAAGAGAAAAAGGCTTTAACACGCTGGTTTACATGGGGGTAATCCGTTGACAACTAGTGCGCTATCCACTAGGTTCCATGGGGGGGAGGGGGAAGGGGTGGGCGGGTGGTTACCGGTGCTCCATCAAACCTGCTACACACACTCTTAGAAAAGAGTGAGCGATTTCCGAGAAAGGGAACGAAACTGGAGTTAGCGATTTTACTCCCTGAAGACAAGTAAGTAATGCCACTCACCTCTTTCCTGAGAATAGCCACTAACTTTTTCTACTAATTTGAAAAGCTTTTTAATTTCTTCGTTTCGCATTCTTAAAAAGTTATGGATTCTGCTCCTATAAAGGAGTAGTTATCGATTGTACTTCCTCATTTTCAGGGAGTAAAATCGCTAACTCTAGTTTCGCTCCCTTTCTCGGAAATCGCTCACTCTTTTCTAAGAGTGTAGAAGGTTAAGAAGGCCAGGAGGCTGCGACGTTCCTTTACCAGAATAATTGAGGCGTACTTTCTGGAGTGGACAACAACTACTTCAGGAGAATCTCTTTCAAAGTATAACATTTCTGACTTCAACCTACGCTTCTAATAAAACTGGGAACTAGGAATACACAATATGCAATATGATCACACCATATTGCACATTCCTGGAATACAATTTCCACCTAGGAAGAATATTTAGATCAATATCGTCGTGGCAATGAAGATCCAGATTACTTATGCCATCACATATGTACCTTCTCCTATTCCGGGATTATAATAAATAAATAAGTAAATAAATAAATAAGTTCAGGTTTTGCTCAAAAATAAAAAATGCCTGGATGGAGTCACTTCAAAAATTGAGCCATATCTTGACTTTCTGTTCAAATCGAGGCATGAAGCGAAATAACAAATTAAGAATTAGAATTAATCTAAACGATATGATTGTCCTCTTGCTAAGTGACAGTTAAAAACTTATCTTTCATGAACCCATTTAGAGAACATGGTTTTTCCTTATTCTTATTTAGTTTTCCTTATTTTCCTGGTTTTCCTAATTCTAATTCTGACACAATTATTGTGTATGAATGTTCGTGGATGTGCAAGTGTGCTGCCAATATCTCGCTGCCAGAAAATTGTGCCTAGCACTAAGGTAAGTAGACCTTACCTGGACAAAAGTAATTATTTGAAAAAGTAATTATTTGAAAAAGTAATTATTTGAATGAATATATCTTCTGTTACTAAAAGTCACAGAATAGTGTCCTTATCCTGCATCACTATTTCTTCTGGCCTTTCTCTGACTTTTTACCATAAAAAATGAAAGTAAATGATTCGAAAAATTCTTCACTATGCGGGAACATCATCCGAAAGTCTGACATAAGTGTATCCTGTAATCTGACAGCTTTTGTCACTATATTACCATCGAATGTCGTCAGTAGGTGTACTCACAAGTGAGTCTTGCTCACTACTGAGTCTTGCTCAGTGCTATGCTACTCCTGTTGTAAATACATACATAACTCACATCACTTAATCCATATGTAAACCAGTTCTGATGGTCAGGTATATCTAGAAAGTGAATTTCAAATACTTATAATGATTTCTCAGATAATTCCTATTTAGGCCAATGATTACGTATTAATTAATTAAATCATCCCATGATCTCCTGCAGCTATCTGCGCCTAAAACGAGGAAACTAGTTTTTTCCTCTTCTTGAAATTTCTCTCAAGTTCCCACATAGCAGAAATTCGAGATGTTCCAGTTGGATAGTTCGAGATGGCAGGTCCTTTATCGCACGAGATGCGATGCCAAGCGTAATTGAATGGAGCATGATGCCAAGTGTGTCTGAAATGTGCTGTCAAGTGTGATGCAATGAAACGGCTAGATATGATAGGTAAAATATGATGGTATGAAACATGGATCAAATATTGGACTTGATCACATCAGCGGTTGTGTAAAATTGAGTACATTTTAGTGTCAATGATATAAATTGAAAAAAAGACAAGAGTGATGCAAATGACGCAAAAATGACTCCAGAAACAGACAAGTTAAAAACATAGGTTTGCACACCATTCCAACTGTAATGTATCCTGAAGTTTTCAAAAAGATAGCTTTAATAGGTAGGGAAAAAACCTGGTGGGGACCTGACCAATTTTGCACCTTTTGACCTTTGACCCCTCTCGATTAGGTCATTATGTTACACTTTTCAAAACCCGTTATTGAATTCAGTTAGTACTCGTCACAGGCTTTCCAATGGTATATAATACAAGGTGTGTCCCAAAAGTATCCGAACTTTTTCTATACAGACAGTATTAGTGGCGCCATTTGTTGAAAGAAGGTGGCGTTCTATTGGTTGAACCTTCATGTATTATTCTGTTGAGTTTGGTTGGGCTAAGACGAATGAGTCATTGCCTAGGGCGCCAAAAGTAACAGTACCCTTATGACACTCGTCGAGAAATCACCATGGAGCAGAGAGCTAACATCAAATTCTGTGTAAAATTGGGGAAAACATTTACGGAGACGCTCGAGATGTTGCGGAAGGCTTATGGGGAACAAGCACTATCACGTACAACAGTTTACGAGTGGTATGCAAAGTTTCGGAATGGTAGAGAATCGTTGGAAGACGATGAACGCAGCGGGCGCCCTTTGACCAGTCGAACGGACGAAGCAGTGGAAAAAGTGCGTGATTTGATCAAAAGCGACCGTTGCATGTCCGTGAGACTCATTGAGGATATCATAGGTATCAGTAAATCACAAGTTTACCGCATTTTGACCGAAGATTTGCAGCGGCGAAAAGTCTGTGCGCGATTTGTTCCGCACTCATTGGACGACGATCAAAAACAAGCCAGAGTGCTGCACGCCCAAGACATCATTTCAATCGCCGATAATAACCCACACTTTTTAAAAACCATTGCAACTGGCGATGAAACATGGTGTTTTCAATATGAGCCACTCACGAAGTGCCAGAGCTCAGTTTGGAAGACTCCAGAAGAACCAACGCCAAAAAAAGTGCGCATGCAGAAGTCAAAAGTGAAAACAATGCTAATCACTTTCTTTGATTCAGCTGGGATTATCCACAAGGAGTTCGTTCCAGAAGGCCAGACGGTAAATGGCGAATACTACCTCGCCGTTATGAAGCGTTTGCTGGCCAGAATTGCTCGGGTCCGTCCTTAATACCAAGCACCAGGCAGCTGGTCTCTCCTCCACGACAATGCTCCGTCTCACAGGTCCATCATTGTGCGGAACTTTTTGGCCTCAAAAGGAGTCGTAGTGCTTGACCATCCGCCCTATTATCCTGATTTGACACCCTGTGATTATTTCCTTTCCCCCGAACTAAAAATGAAGCTGAAAGGAAAGCGTTTCGACATGATTTTGGACATCCAAAAGGCTTCGACCAAGGTTATTTCCGCCATCTCGGAGGAAGACTACCAGAGGTGTTTCCAAAAGTTGTATGATCGCTGCAAAGCCTGCATTTCTTCGGAAGGGGCGTATTTTGAATAATCAATAATAAAAAATTATAAATATCACATGGGAAATTGATTTGTAACTGAAGTTCGGATACTTTTGGGACAGACCTTGTATGTCCAGATTAGTGTGGAAAAGTATGATACTATCGATTCGAAAAATTGGGTTGTCATTTTGATGTGGAGTGCCCCCTAAAGGTACAGTATTCCTTCTCAGCTGCAGCTTGCAGACATCGCACAGTTGAGAACACTATAACGCGACAATAAACGGGAATAAAAGGAACACGAAACGGAATTTCACCAGAAGATTGTGAAATTTTGGATTGGCAAATAAAAAGGGAATCTTTGTGGATTGTGAATCCATCTTTATGAGTACCTTGAACAGACACAAAGAATCTTCTCAACAACAGTATCAAAATCTACAGATTGATATTGAAATGTTGAGCTATTAAATTTTTCCGTCTTAAGAAGCTGGCGGTACAAAGCGTTGACAAACGAAGGCAAAGTGGTTGCTAACTTTATACACAGTTAGGATGACGAAATATTCATGAATTTATTTTCCTTCTCTCCTTTCTCTCCTTCCTGATATACATGAGTGAACATCAGTAGCTATATGCTCAAAATAGTTGTCTTTATATTGATTTCGATTTAAATTGTATTTTTCCCCATTTTCAAAAACCTTCAAAAGCAGTTTGCTTTCCAGGATATCTAGGTCTCCAGTGATGACGTGCTCCCGGTCATTGACGTATTATCGAATTTCCTGTATTCGAATTTGTTGCAGACACGTTGCTGAAATGTGTTGCAACACATTTTATCGGGCCCAGACCCAGAAGAGTGGGGATTTTCTTATTTTTCCTTCCCACATTAGGCTCGCATATTCTTTTAATTCTTCAGGGCCACTTGGCCAAGAGAACATTATTGAGATTGAAGAAAGAAATATGATTCTTCAGAAACAGTCTCAGCCGGAGAGATTCAAGTTTATTGTACTGGGAGGAAATGATATGAAAGCTGAGCTTCTTAAAATATTGTCAATTAATTGTCCACAAATGTAGACATTTCAAAATCAGGTAGGTGCCTAATTTTGGCAGAGTCGGACAGAACGACTAGAATTACATTTTGCGAAGAATGGCCTGGACACACCAGAACATCCAAATTCTATTCCAATATTTTTCTACTGATTTTCCTTCATTATCTAGTCCCTACACTCTTTTGATCTCATGCCATACAGAAGCAGATGCCTCCTTAATTCTACGATTAACTTCTCCGAGTCCATATTTTTCCTTTTCCTTTTAAGAGGTATCCAATGATTCAATTGAATCATTGGCAGGCAACCATTTTTTGCCAAAATGGAACTTTCGCTCCTTCCGTCGACGGAGTCCGCCTCCAGCCAGTGGCTTCCGTTTTACGTCTTCCACGCCCCTTCCCGCTCCATAAAGAGCGGTAAAGGGCGCTGGCTCTTAATATTGAGAGCTGGAAACGACCGACATAGGCTCGCTTTTATCACACTTCTCGTACAGACACAGGCGCCAAATGAGAAAAATGGACCGCCCACATTCAATTCTCGGTGGATTGCTTTTCTGCCGCTACACAGTAGTGTATAGGGCAAGGTGAAGGGAGGAAGAGTGGGAGGAAGAGTGGAAATATTTACCTGCCAGGTCGGAGAAGGGCGGGATCGAGGAGATCGGGTCGATTGGTGGCACCCATCACGAAAACCTGCTTTCCGTTCCCGCCTCCTGATATCCCGTCCATTTCCGCCAAGAGCTGCGACACCACCCTGCGGGAGTTTCATTCCCATCTATCCATCTTCCATTTTTTCTTTTCGTTGCAAGTAGAATGGAAACCCAATCCGGCTTACCGATCCACGACACCACCGGAGTCGCCGGCTTCCCCCCTTTTCGGAGCCAAGGAATCCAATTCGTCAAAGAAGACGACACACGGCGCCTTCTCCTTTGCCCGCCGGAACACTATACGCATGGCATGCATGATCCCATCATCGCAATGATCGTTCCATATTCCGATTCTGATTCTAAAATTGAGAAGAATAAAACCTTGTCGGACGTTGGCTTCGCTTTCCCCGACGTACATGTTGAGGAGTTCGGGGCCTCGGATGGAGATGAAGGAAAGGGAACATTCCGTTGCAACTGCTCTAGCCAACAATGTCTTCCCCGTCCCAGGTGGCCCGTACAACAACACCCCTTCAATGGAGACAGGAAAAATTTATCAGTCGCAGCCACTATGCATTGTTGAGAGGAGCAGAGGATGACTCAAGGCCATTTCTTCTACTTCATTTTGGTCTCATTTTAGACTGGCTTTAAAGGCTAATGTTTAACATCTCCTTACCTAAATGATTGTTTTTATACGATAATATACAGAGTAAAAAGCCGATGTTTTGCATCAGCTTTTTGAATGCTGATGCGAAGCACTTGTGAATAACTTCTTTTCATTGACATCATAGGGGGTAGACGATAGACTTCTCCGAGATTATATTTGAATATTTTATGGTAAAAGTGACAATGTGGAGCAATGTTTCCGGCTTGCAGAAAATGCTGTTGGGCGGGCAAAGCGCATGGAGAGATCATATTCGGCATCCTGTTTACTCCACAGTTTCTCTTCTTACATCCTCATTTAAAAGCTATGAAATGCATTAGAGATGAGAAGTGAGCTTTCACAGAAGTCCCTTAGGTTTACTTTGCCTGAAAAATTAAAATCCATTTCATTCCCTTGAAATGGATGTCATTGAGCAAGGGTGCACACAATGCGACCCGCGGGGCACATCCAGCACACACATTGTTATAGGAAGCATCCCCTTTGCGCACTCCTGCGGTCAGAAGAAACTCGCGAGAAACGTTTAAACTTGGGGCACTCAATCGACTCTATAGCAGAAAATGCTGCAACTGAAGATCTTCATTTTCACGATTTTCTTTTAACTTCATGCCTGCCCAGCCAGACTAAGATTTCGAGTTCCCGCTGAAAATCTTAAAATTTCAGTTACCGCATTCCTCATTCCGTTTCGCCTAGATGACTGGATTGGATATTCATTCTAAATACTGAAAATTATACTTTCTTGCCGTAATCTTTGGTTTCCAAAAGCAATGCAGTTCTCATGAACGGCAAATTTCGATTTGCAGGAGTTGCAATCACTTTTCTCCCATTCTTCTGCGAAAATTCATCACAGAATGCCGAAAACAAAATTCAAACTAATCTAAAAGCAGATTCAAAAGGAACGGAAACCGTGTAAAATAAATTTTTCGCCAAAACGACTAACTTCGGAAATACTTTACAACTGGACAAACTCCATGGCATGCAATTCATCCAGAGGGAGTTTCTGTGGAATTTCGATGCATGACCTTAACTGATAGGCGTAGAGAATTGTAGCATTCGAACACCTTAACTTCATTTCCTGGGAAATGCATGGCCTTAAAACATAAAAAAGGAACTAAATTCATTTAGTGGACCTATAAACTATAACTTATAAACCTCAGTATGACACTTAAATGCATTTCAAATTCCAAACGAGTTTGTCTGACTCATTTTTCAGTTACAGATGCCAGAGGCATTCAACTTTGCAGGCATTGAGAGGCTGATTTCTTGCCTCGAGTCCCCCCACGACAAGGAAGAGTTACAGAAACTTAACTTTTTCAGGTACCAAATCGGATAAGTCTTGAGATCAGAGACCTTGAGAGAGCGAGTCTGCATGTCAAGTCTTCGAGCGAATTTGAGAAAATCCGGACGGGATTAAGTCAAAGGAGAAAATAAATTTATGAATGATACAAAAATAAGGTGAGAGAACCTGATCGTCGAATGAGACTGGAGCTTGAGAAGATGTTGGGATGCTGAAGAGGGAGAAGGATGGTGTCCATGACTTCTTTTTTCGCTTCTCCCAAGCCCCCTATGTCACTCCAATGAGTCTCACCCATTTCCTGTCCCTCTTCCTTCCTCTTCTTCTTCCATTCATCTGCACGTTCAAAAACTTAACGTTAACTTCGCAAAGAAATCAAATTAAGTTCTCCATCTCGCATCAATTTCAGCTTAGCCCTTTAAATCCCAAGTTTCTGATGCTGCGCATGTGCTCTCATTTCGAGTTTTCGGGAGTCCTGACGGCTGGGTCAAATATAACGCGAAACTTTCAGTTTTTTACTTGCCACGAGATTCGATACCGACTATATTACTTAGCCTACTTACTTACGTAGGAGGCCATCCTGAGTGTACTAGGAAGTGGGATTTAAAGGGTTAAAGGCGCGAGGGACCAAGGAGGGGCATGCGCTGTGTTAGCGCGTAGAGCTAGAAAAACGTTCTATGAAAGGATGCCGGTGTTCCAGGGGACATTGAAGGGCTCATTCCACCCCAGACCTCAACTCGAATTTCGATCTTCATTCCGTCTGCTATATCATCACCTGTTCCCAACGATAATCCACCCAATGAAGGCATACGATCAAGAATAAAGTGCCTATCTCTGGATCGGAACGAACCATTTGTTTATGCGCATCTCTAATACTATTAGAGGATGTGGAAGGGAAAAGGAAAGCCTCGATGAGAATTCCTTATGGAAAGTATAGAAAATATAAATAGAAGGGATCACAGAAAGGATATGGTGCTTTAATTATTTCTCTGATGAAAGTGAGCACTCATGAATAAAAGATCAACTTCCATTAGCTCTTCTCTTGGGTTGCATATTCCTCCTCCTGTATAATGAAAAACAAAATTTCGTCGAATTTCTCAGAAATACAGTGGTCTGTATGATTCGCCCAAGCATCCCCCACAGGTCACGTTGTGCACAACGTGGGAGACATTTCAGACAACGTGACTCGTACCCATCGTGCTTTTTCCAAGAAGTTATCATTCTATTTCTGATCCTCACAACAAGAAACAGGAAAGAAAAAGACTCACTGTTACCAGATACTGTACAGGATGAGCCACCCTTTAAAACACAATAACTGGGACGGATAGAAATACTGTACTTTCCCCAAACAACGTGGGTTTGTAGCCACGTTTTAAAAAATAAATAAATAAATAAATAAGCAATAAAATGAACACGTTCACACAAATGCAGCACTTTGCCTTTATGTGTTCTCCATTTCATGATCCACCTAGGCACTGCCAACATGCAAGCACGTCCTGAGATGGTCCGACGCCTGTTTGCTTGCCCTTCGGTACATCTTCATTGGTATGGCATTGAACTGCGTGATCACGTTCTGTAGGGGATCTACAGTAGGTCATGGATACACTGGGCATAACCTTAGTGCTATTGATACTTGTTACTCAATGTGATCCTCAGCTGCAACAATTAGCTCCCACCGTTTTGGAAGCTATCCATTACCTATTACACCTTCGGCTAAATTCTTCGAGCTTCGCTTCACTATTGCGTTCATCTAACCCAGGGGTGTCAAACTCAAATCGGTCGGCGGGCCGCATTCCTTATCCTGCAGATGCCTGCGGGCCGCACCAATACTTTTTCACCGAAATTTGTGCTATCAGTCAATCCAAGCGGAAATTTCAAGAACAGGTGGCGGGCCGGATGAACCACCTCCGCGGGCCGTATGTTTGACACCCCTGATCTAACCTGAATGAAACTGTTTGCCGTGCAATAGTTCTTCCAAGCGAATGAACAGAAAAGAAATCACAAAGGGGCAGATCAGATGAGTGGTGTCTTCCACTTTCGCCCCCGAGACTTAATTAACAGATAGTTGCTAAATTTTCCCCTTTATCTCATCTCGATGAACGGGGGCGAGAGTGCACTGGGGCGACTTTGCAAACGTTGATTTCGTGACTGATAACTACGTCTGCCTTGACCTTTTAAAAGGGGAGGTAGGGTTAACTCCCAGTTTCACTTTCCCACCCTGCAAGATAGATACTGAAAGTGACTTGAAGCGGATAGGAACTATAGTCCCTCATGGATTCAGAAATCGATGTTCTTCAGAAGAATCTTATATTGCAGTCAAATGATGATGGTATAAAATGCACAAATTAGAAGGTCATACAGCTAAAAAAATCATTTGTATCTGGACGAACTACTTCTGATGGTACAGATGGTCTAACCAAATGACACCACATAATACAGGTCTGCGACATTTTTTGAAGATCAATTTCGTTTGTCCGAAATAGATGAGTAGATTCCGGGGATGGTCGATCCAAGCCTCCCAGTCCCTTTTTTTTCTTCCTTATCCTGGTTTCATGTGCGATTTTCCTTTCTAAATCAAAGCCACGAGTTCAAAAATGTTTAAGAGGCTCTTCTAGGCATGCATCAGAATCAGTCTTACACAGGGAGGGATATTGAAACTGGGAGTTGACCTTGCCTCCCCTTTTTAAAGATTGGCTAACAGACATGAAAATCAGGCGTGGAAAGTCGCCCCAGTGCACTTTCACCCCAACCATGTGCAGATCAAAGATGAGGGTAGATGGGAGTACAGTTAAACCCAACAATAGCAGCTTCTAAACCACCTCACGTTTGCGGTGTGGCTCTGCATTCTGCATTCAACAAAGTATGGCTTTCTTGATGAAACTCAGATCGCTTCTTTCGAACTGCTAGTCGAGCACGATCAAACAGGGTCTTCAAACTATAATGTACATGAACCTTTTAGCGATTGGAGACGGTATGGTCGATAATAATTCCAAAAATGCAGAAAAAGATGTGCATCATCTCCATTGCAGGGATTTTTCTTATTGCTTCTTGACAACTTGGGAATCTGGAGTTCTTCATTCACTACTGTAGTCTTTGAATTCTGGTTTAAACAAGCGGACCCAAGTTCCCTCGGCCGCAACGATGCATTGCAAAAATGATTCGTTTCAAGAGATTCTATGCCCATTAATACATTCTCATATATTTCCGTTCAGGAGTTCGGAGATGTGGGATTCATTTTGTTGCCACTTCTTCCTTTCCCAAATCTTGTGCTAAAATTGCGTAAGCTGTTCGATTTTCGACATGGAAAATAATTTAGTTAACTATATACAAGAGTGCGTCTCTCTTCATTCAACACATCTTGAACGCGTTCAAACATGCTCTTCGTCCACAGGTCAACCACTTCCTCACTCATCCTCAACTTCAGTTCTGCCAGCGCAAAACTGTTTACTCACCTACGAATCGTGCTGTAAGTAGGGCAATTATCCAGCAAAACAAACGCAAAATGTCATGGAATCCAGTATCTCCCTTACAATGCAGGGCAAGAAATTCTACAAGCGTCCTGATAGCATCTTTTCCAATTGAGGCACGGAGAGCTGCATGCGCATATACACCCGAAATGTGAGTGTGGATTAAAGCATACAAAACAACTCCCCCATAGAGAACACTCCAATATTGACATTTGTTTAAGGCTATATGTTGTTTCTCACGCCAATGGACCCGTTCCTCTGTCATATTCACTAATAAATGCAAAAACAATTAATACTAATAACTGGATAAGTCTCATACATGCGAAATCTTGAGGATTCTTGAAATCTAAATCTGGAAAGAGATTGTGACCTGTAGGTGGCTGCGGATGATGCATTATGAGAGAATGTATGAAGGTGATGACGAATGCATTTTCCGTTGCCGTACCGTGCTTTCCGAACACCATGAAGTCGGGTGACTTGGAACAGCTTCTGCCTTGGCAAATGAATGCTTTTGGAAGGGGTATTCAATTCCGTCACAGTTGAATGAATTTTAATCAGTGAATCTGTGATTAGATGAGTTGTCCTCGGTGGTGCGCGCGTGAACGCCACGCGGGAGGATGGGCATCAGTGATACAAAAGGCCGTAGTATTCCAAAAACTACCTTAACACGTTCGCTACCACGTCCGACCTCCAGTCGAATAAGCCTTTTCAAGTTTAGGCATTCGTATCTGACTTAGGTCGAATAAAAACAGGCGCGAACATTTCTCATTCAAATAGTTGTTAGACCACGTAGTTTACTCTTCTGTCCCCAAATGGTAGCTGTATGAACTTTTCCTTGTTCTCGAACGCATGTTGGTCGGTCACATCCCTAGTAGCACATAACATTGATTCAACGTTGGTTCAACGTCCAAATGTTTAATCAACGTTGAATCAATGTTGTTTCAATGTTATGTGCTACTAGGGAAGTGCTTTCTTTCATCACTTGTTTAGACCCTAAGAAAAATGGCGAAGCGAGTGGCACCTGACCACATGCAGGATGGTGGTAGCGAACGCGTTAACACAGGCCCATTCGGCACAACAACGTCGCGTCAATGTTGAATGAGGATTGATTTTTCAACGTAGCAATGTTGCCACAATGTTGAAATGAAACACAGTTCAACGTTGAATTGTCAACGTCTGAGCATTACTTTCTCCTTTGCCTGAGATTGAACATGAAGATTGTAGCTTGAAAGTATCCTACTGAGTACTATCATTCCACAGATAGTTCCTTCTGAGGATGTAACTTCCTGTACTGGATCAGAAGTCGAATTAAGTACTTGAATAACCCAATTCATTCTGTCCAGCAGAGGAGTTACGTGTCTGGTATCATCCGCAGCTGTCTGGGGAAGAGCTAAACAATCCCTCACAGATAGATGAAAACGCTTTGTCACTCTCAAATGAGATACAAGAGCCCAAGCCTGTAAATGCACAATGTAGGGAAGTAAAAAAATTCGCCACGTTGGGATCCCCTGGCCAGAAGAACCTAGAGTCTCCTTCTGCCGGGTTACATCCTTAAACGGGTCTAAAAATTCAAAAGCCTTTCCTTAAGTTGTACGTGGGAAAAGATGTAATTACTGTGTAAAAAATACAGGGGACTCATTCCAGTGGCACCAGTATGAGAATCGCTATATGGGTGGATGGGCACCATTTCGCGCGGATGGATAGAAGCTATTTTCTGTTGAGATAATGTGGATAAATTCATTTTAAAACACCATTGATGCGGAAAGGGAATTGCACTTATTAGCCTCCGAACGACTTCGCTAATCCATGAGTTGTCACCATTTGCTGAAAATGCATTTGCTGAAAATGAATAACCGGGATTTCATTGCT